AGCATGGCTGGCTGGGGAATTCTGGGAGTTGAAGTCCACTCATCTTAAAGTGGCCAAGTTTGGACACCACTGGTGTAGAGGTTCCAGGTTCTATGCCCTTTGTAGCACTAAAAAGGGATCTTGGGTTTCAGAGTTGATATGAAGAAGCTTCTGTCCGAATAAACGAAGGCTGCTGCCAGATCAAAGAAGAATATTAGGCTAGGCGGGCCAATAGTTTGACTCAAAACCAGGCAGGCCACAGTTACCTCCATGTACCTCCACGTTTTCTTTCTAAACAATTTAGGACTTCATTGGATAAGTTCCTGGCTCTTCTTCTGGCTCCTTCTTTATGATTATTGTCGTGCGATGGCAACATCCCACAAATAAAGTCATGGCTCTGGTGGTTTTGTAAAAAGTATTTAAATAGAAAACAAAAAACTTTCCTCAATCTGTTTGTACCACCCTATTTAAAATTGCTACTAAGTTTTGTTGAAAGCAAAAATGTCAAGGTTAAAATAGAAGTTTCTGGTGAGGCAAACCATTAAAACTAGTATGATGGAAGAAAAATGATCAGAATAGTAACATTTTGTTCAGAGACTGCCATGCTTCCCTAATCATCTCCTTGGCTGAGATAGGAAATTAATTTGCATTCCTAACTAACATTCCCCAGGAAGTATTTCCATTACTTTCTAAGTACATAGTTATATACACATGTGTGTGCAAGCATGTGATGGAGGAATTTCTTCTCCGTGGTTTTAATTCAGAGGAACAAGATGAGCAGCGAAACAATCCCCATGAACAGCCCAGTCAGTTGTTTAAAACACCGTCAGCTTTTAAATGCCACCATTTTTTTTTCATCAGAACTACTTGAATATTCAGAATAAGAATAAAAGAAACCGGCGTGGATCTTGTAATAGATATACAGAGGGAGAGAATCGTTCAGTTCCAGTTCATTTTTTTTTTCTTGCTCAAGGGCTTTTGGTGATTCTTGTTAGCTTGTAGAATACCTCCCCACCATCCTATCCCCATAGTACTTTTCAGATCCCTCTAATATTTAAGAAAATGGAAAACATCAGGGTGTTCTGATGGCTGTACATCACTTGGCGCAGGAATAACATTCAACAAAGTTCTACCTCTGAGAGCAGCTACAACGTTTTCATATAGATTGCTCCCCACTTCATGCATTAAGGCCACTAAGGGATTTTTCTGTTTGTTTGTTTCCCCTTTTAATGCAACAGAGGTAACAGCTTCATTAACCCACAGTGATTGGTTTACCGGTTTGAGGAAGAATGCAGAGTGCGTGGCATCATCAAAGCAACACCTCTTGGAAAACCCATGAATATGTCTGACCGCTTGCCTTGTTTTTTTCTGGCTAGCTCCACTCTTCGCCATGGCTTATCTGGCTCCTTTAAGCAAGGGTTTATATGACTTGCCTGGTTTCAGTCAAAGCCAGGAAGAGAAAAAATGCAACACGGTTTTTTTAAAAAATGCTTATTGAGCTAGAGAGGAATGTATCTGAGCAAGAAAACAAGAGCAGGATTAGATATAGTCTTGATGTGGTCACCAGTACTTGGATGGAAATGTGGTTATTTTCTCTTTGGGCTCCATCCCTAAACTTCTCGCTTTGATCTTCACAGTGTCAGTTTTGATAGCTAGAAACCTGGTCCACATTTCTTCCCTCCCACTTCAGAGACCCTTCAGGAGGCTGTCTCAAAACAAATGTTCACTTTGTCCTCATAACACCATATGTCCCCCTGTTTTAGGCCCAGCATTCCTGCTCTTTCTGCCTTCTTTGAATCCTTCATCACTCTGTAACATATCTGGCTGGTCTCCTTGTTATTTCCTGATTTCAGATGTGCTTAAATAGGGTAAGCTGGTGACTGAAGGAAAGAAGATGTGCAAGTGCAGAAAGAGAACTTACATAGACGAGAACATGGGAGAAGTACATGGGATAAATGTCAGAGGCACCTGAAAGAGAAGTCAAGCAACTGACTTTGGACAGATGTCTTTCTTCACCCTTGCCTCAGTTCAGAATCAGCAGCCCACTGTCAGTCCAGGAGATTTTAAGAAGCACATACAGTACGAACAAGACATCCACTTCACCTGCCTTCATTTTCTTTTACCGTCTTATGTCTTTTACTAGCAAGAGCCGTTGGATGAAAATACCAGGCCAGTAGGGCAGAGAGGGAGAAAAAATAACTGAATCAGTGCTTATAGGATTGTTCCAGTGTCCCCAGAAAGCATAAGCTCTACTTTTCCTTCACATGTTCTTCTTCCAAGAGGCACCAGTGAGGCAGAGGAAATGAGAAGCTAACTCAGAATGCCTCTGCCCCCTGTCCCTCCTTCACACTGGTGAACTAGCGGTGGATTCACTGTAAAGACTCTCCACAATGTCCCCCCTTTGGATCTTGCGCAAGGCTGAATAAAGGGCATCCATGGTGGAACTGTCCTTGCTGGACCAATCAGAGAGCAGTGCACGAACTGGGTATTCCTCTTGCGTAAACGAGTCTATGTGATCTTCCTTGTAGCCCAGCTCTCCGGCCAGGTGGCGCCATGTCTCCTCCGTGGAACCATTCAACAGCTTTTCAACCTCCTCCCGTTTATTAGGTGGCAGGCTGGTGTAAAGATTCCCATCTCCTTTAAGACCTAAAATTGAGAAATGGGTTTGGGATAGAGAGCACGCAAGGGTTAAAAAGACCTTAACTGCATGGGGGCTACTCACTTACCTGTTCCATGTTCCCAAAGTTGGTTTTAACTAGAAGTAGATGGCTGGAAGCCATTCTAGATTTCCCACAATGCCCCAGAGCAATGTGGCAAATTTGAAATGAATGATTTGCTGCTATCCACAGCAATCCTCAGCAATTATGCATGATCCTGGGGGAAAGCCCAGGAGGAAATGGGGAAAAGATCAGTTATTATTGTGGGAGCCATAGACAGTCCCTTACTGTGGGAGGCCCAACATTTGGCTCAGACTATTTTTGGTCCAGGTCAGTTTCATGTGAGTTTATTCTATCCTATTTCTGCATTAACTGATGCTTAAAAAAAAGATTGGCACAAAAATATGTAAGCCTTGTAGATGCATTTCACAGTAAAATACCTATGTTTATTTGCATTTCATGTAAAATTCCTTTGATATGCTTTTTAGCACATACTGTAAGCATTTTAGTGTCTTTTTAAAATAGCAAACTGCATTAAAACATTCTGAAAAGCATGGAACCATAGATGTTTGTGTTTTGTGATTTATAAGAAATACAAACAGATCAATATGCTTCCAAAGGTGAACTATAATCAAGATCTGGATGGGGATTTTTCTGGGTAATTTCATGAACTTCACTGTGGCAAGGCAGCAATGAATTGTTCTAAATAATCCAGGTAAGATTATATCTACCGTTATTCTCACACAAACATAAACATTCAAGCTGCCTTTAACGTCCTGTTTTTTCTTTGCCTGTATCACAATTAATGTCTCAGCTGCCCCATTCTGAACATCTCTCAAATTCAAAATGTTCAAATGTTCACTTTAGTTCTGAGATTTCTCATTGGGTACAAACCCAATGAGTTTGTAGAAAGGAAGAGTGCTGGATCCAAATTTTGAGAGGCCATCATCTGAACGCATGGACTTGAAAATGGGTAAAGGACAAAACTACTCATTCACCCTCACCACACAGCTCTTTCTAACCTCAGCGCATCTTGTCTGAAGGAGAGCTCTACTTGCCATCAGTGGAACACAATGCAGCTTGTTGTGTGATCTGAGACTCCAGATGGAAAGCTGTATATATTAAAACAAACATTTGTTCAACTTCTCTTCAGGCCTCCCAGCTGAACATGTGGAGAGCAGAAAAAGAGGACAGGGCTGCCTGTGCAAGCCCAGTGTCAGGCAGGAGAGGTTCAAAGAAGAAAAGAGTGTGGTGTTCTGGAACCTCCTTAGTTAAGAAGTGACAGAGTTTAGATGCATTTCTCCAGCCTCCTTGGCTTCTCATGCCTCACATCAACCCCAAGGGAAAATCTCAGGCCAAAATTCCTCCCGCGGGGCCTTTTCAGTAGTGATGTTCTTGTCTCTACTGAGTGGGAGTCCTATCCTTTTAAGAGAATTTCTTGTATGCTTAGAGAAAGGCAAAGAAATGGCCTACCCAGTTTCTCCACTCATGAATTTGTTGGAGAATTTAGAAAGGCCATTTGTGCCTAACTCTGTTCAAGTCATTATACATTTTTATTAGACTGTTTTTATTATTATAAATTGCCAGGAGTGGGAGTAGCATTCAAATCAGACCAGACCAGACCAGACCAGACCAGACCAGACCAGACCAGACAAATAAAATAAAATAAAATAAAATAAAATAAA